AATTCAGTGGATCATTTTTTCCCTAGCTCTTTCCAACATTGTTACACGGTCTTCTATTCCTCTTTTTTCTCCTCAGTGGACCATTCCATTCCCATCTCCTCCTTCCCAACCATTTGCAAACACACACACATGCACATGCACACATACATGCCTGGGCTCAGAAACATGAACTTCCACCCTCCAAGGCTGACCTAACTATGACTACTGCTGAGTGCCCATTCTGCCAACAGCAGAGACCAACACCAAGTCCTTGATGTTGCTCCATTTGCCGGGATGATCAGTCAGCTCCCTTGTGGCAGGGTGATTCCATTGGACAGCTTCCACTGCAGAGGGGACAGTGTTTTGTTCTTACTGGAACAGATACTCTGGGTACAAATTGGCCCTCCCTGCATGCACTCCTCCTGTTGAAACTACCATCTGTGGACTTACAGTACCTCAGCCATTCCCATGCTGTTCCACATGGCATTGCTTATTATCAGGGAATTCACTCCACAGCAACTGAAGTGTGGCAATGGGCCCCTGCTCATGGAATTCACTGGTTTTACCATGATCCTAGTCATCCTAGAACAATTAGTCTGAAAGAACTATAGAATGGCCTTTAGAAGACTCAGTTACAGTGCCAGCTAGGATGCAATATCTTAAATGGCTGGGACAATGTTCCCCAGAAGGTTGTATATGCCCTGAATTAGTATCTAATATGTGATGCTGTTCTCTGATAGCCAGGATTTATGAGTCCAAGAATCAAGGGGTGGAAACGGAAGTGATACCACTTACCATTACTTCTAGTGACCCACTAAGTACAATGTTTGCTTCCTGTTGCTGCTACTTTATATTCTGCTGGCCCAGAGAGCTTAGTTCCAGTGGGAGGAATCCTGCCACCAAAGACACAACAATGGTCCCATTGAGCTGGAAGTTAAGACTGCCAACAGATCACTTTGGGCTCCTCATGCCTCTGAGTCAGCAGGCAAGGAGTGGGTTACACAGTTGGTTGGGTTGACAGACCCATCCTGACCACCAAGGTGATCTGGACTGCTACTCCACAGTGGAGATGAGGAAAAGTATGTCCGGAACATAGGAGGTCTCTTGGGGCATCTCTTAATATTCTCGTGCCTGTGTCTAATGTTAAATGGAAAACTATAACAACCCAATCTAGTCAGGACTATGAATGGCCCAGACTCTTTGGGGATGAAGATTTGAGTTGCCCTGACCAGGGAAAGAACTATAACCAGTTGAGGTGCCTGCTGGGGAAAAAAAGGAATGCAGACTGGGCTGGGTGCAGTGGCATACCTACCATCCCAGCCACTCAGGAGGCTGAGGCAGGAGGATCTCAAATTCAAGGCCAGCCTCCGCAACTTAGTGAGACCCTGTCTCAAAATAAAAAATAAAAAGTGTTGGTCTGGGGATGTAGCTCATTGGTAAAGCATTCCTGGGTACCAAAAAAAAAAAAAAAAGAAAAAAAAAAAAAAAAAGGACTGGGAATTTAGCCCAGGGGAAAAGAGCCCCTGGGTTCAACCCCCAGAACAAAAAAAAAAAAAAAAAATTAAAAAGAGAAGAAATACAGCCTGGGTAGTGGAAGGAGGTAGTTATGACTACCAGCTGTGACCACAAGACCAATTACAGAACTAAGGACTGTTAATGTCAGAAACATTTCCTTCTTATTTTTTCTGAATATGTTTGTGCATATATAGCAAATATCTTTTCTTCCTTTTTCATTGGTACCAGGGATTGAAATCAGGGGCACTCTACCACTGAGTCACATCCCCAGCCCCATTTTGTATTTTTTTTATTTAGAGACAGGGTCTCATTGAGTTGTTTAGCAGCTCCATTTTGCTGAGGCTGGCTTTGAACTCGGGATCCTCCTGCCTCGGCCTCCCGAACTGCTGGGATTACAGGCATGTGCCACCATGCCTAGCTGTCTTTTATTTCTTACCTCTATTATTCCCTTAGTGTGTAATGTAAGATAGGTTGACTTTAAGTCTTGTTAAGTTTACATTACAATATTTAAATTGTGGGATATTAAAGAACAGTAAATATCGCTCAAGGACTTCACCTCCTCTTCTGGGGAAGGACTTGTGCATTCTCAGTTGTATGCAGGATAGTTGGATCATGTTAGGTAAAATGATGATGACCTTTTTATTGCTTTCATTTGGAGATTAAATATGATTCAAGGAGAGGCATGTGAATGGCAAGTGGATAAGAGGTGAATTTTGATAGTTAGTTTGATGTTTCCACTTGACTGGGACACAGAGTTCCCTGATTAAACATTATTTCTGGGTGTGACTACCAGGCTGTTTCAGAAGGAGGTTAGCATTTGAATTGTGGACTGCAGATTGCTCTCCCATTGTAAGAAGGCCTCTTCCAATCCTTTGACAGTTTGAATAGAACAAAAGGTGGAGGGAGGGGGAATTTGCTTGCTGCTTGACTGCTTGAGCTGGGAAGTGTCTTCAGCCCTCAACAGGGAGCTATCCATCAGCCCTCTTGTTCTCAGAACTACACCACCAGCTCTTGTGGGCCCGCAGCTTGTCTGCAAAATGGCAGATTGTGGTACTTCTCAGCTCCCATAATTGTTAAGAGCCAATTCCTTATAATAAATCATATATTGGTTCTCTTTCTCCTATTGATTCTGTTCTCTGGAGAACCCTAATAATCCCCAGCAATTCCACTTGTACCTCTAACACTGAACACAAGTGCACATAGTCATGTACACGAACAGTGGGGGAAAACTGTGAAAGGCCAAAGATTTGTGCAACCTGAAGAGACACATGAGTGGGAAAATCTGCTGAATGTCCATGTATAGCCCCTGATCATTGCAGAGTGAAATGAATGATGGGGGATAATGCTCTGCCATAGAGCACCCTCTTCATGTAATACAGAATAAACGGGACCTGAGTGTACCCATGGGACTGTGTGCCTTCTACAGGACACTATGTAAACGAGGAAAAGCCAGATAGTAGGGGGTTGGTTGCTGTGACCACGTGTGCATGAGGGCACATACAAATGCTATGTAGGGAAAGTATCTAAAAGTAAACACCAGAAATTGACCCCCAGTGGTTATTTTGGAGGAGTGGGGGCAGGGATGCCCTGCATAGTCAATGTACTGATGTGCTATTCAAATCTTTTATACAAACCTGTATTTGCCTGTATTATTTGTGCAACTCTTTTTAAAGGAAAATCCTGTGCTTAATGTTCTCATATACAGAAGCTACAGCAAAATAAGGGGGAAAAAGGGAGGTTGGGTATCATAAAGACAGAAGGAATATCAATGGAGTTAAAGGAGATTGAGGAGGGAGGAGAGACAGGAAATGGGAGGAAATGCTAAATGCATTAACAAAATTATGCTCTGTGCATGTATAAATTTACCACAGTGAATTCCACCTTTATATCTATAAAGCACCAATTAAAAATATATAAATGGGTGCAAGTAGACCAGTACAGTAGAAGAAGGGGAATAGAGGGCAGGAGGAGAGGAGGGAAAGGGAAGCACTGGGACTGAAATGGATTAAATTAAACTCCATGCATGTATGATTATATCAAAATGAAACCAACAATTATGTACACATATAATGCACCAATAACAGAAAAAAAACAATACCCACAGTGTGAAACATTTGCGTTGGGTGGGGGGAGGATGTGTCTAGGAGGAAGAATCTCAAACTCACCTGTCCCAGGAACCAGACAGGTAACCTGTAAGAGCCAAGAGTGCTCAGCTCAGGGTGAGGAGAATGGCAATGGGCCAGGTGAATGTTCTCTGACTCTCAACAGTGAAGGGGGAAGGTGGGGTGAGGGCTGAGTATGGATGGTGGATGGGGAAGACCCCAGATTTCGTGCCCCAGTAGAATTCAGAAACATCACACTCTGGGGCACAAAACTCTGGCTTTTTGTTTGTTTGTTTGTTTTTGCAGTGCTAGGATGGAACTCAAGGTCTCGAGCATGCCAGGCAAGTACTCTACCACTGAGCTACATCCCCAACCCCAGAACTCTGAATAACTTAGAAATCTTCACTTAGAAGCTGGATTTGGTAGCTTGTGCCTCTCATACCAACTGCTTGGGAGGCTGACTTGAACCCAGAAGTTCAGGGCCAGTCTAGTCAACATAGAATAAGACCTGTCTAAAACAAAACAAAACAAAAACGAGAGAAAAGAAATCTTTTTTAAAAATATTTTTTAGTTGTAGTTGGACACAATACCTTTGTTTTATTAATTTATTTTTATGTGGCACTGAGAATCAATCACTGAGAATCACAGTGCCTCACATGTGCTAGGCAAGTGCTCTACCACTGAGCCACAACCCCAGCCCCTAGAAAAGAAATCTTGATTCAGACACATACCCAATATAGAGTGGCCATACCCTAACTCAGACAGCTCATAACTCCACATGCTGGACACTGGCTCACATACAGATCAGAAGTATAGCCCTCTGGAGACAGCAACCCTAAATAGACAAGAGGCCTCCCAGCTGGGAATACTGGCCCCCTCAACCCTCAAATCTTTTTTTTTTTTTTTTTTTTTTTTGTAACAGAAATTAAACCCAGGGGTGCTTAACCACTGAGCCACATCCACAGCCTTTTTAAATTTTCATTTTGAGAGACGTTCTCGCTAAGTTGCTGAGGACCTCACTAAGTTGCTGAGGCGGGCCTTTGAACTTGAGATCCTCCTGTCTCAGCCTCCTGAGTCTCTGGGATTACAGGTGTGCACCCCCTGCCTGGCTCCCTCATCACTTTTGGATGAGTGGTTTTTCTGTGTTATTGAGAAGGAACCCCTTACACATACACCTGGGTTTTACTTTCAAGGCTTTAAAGTTTCTTGGTTTGTTTTTCCAGTGGTGGGGATGGAACCCAGGGCCTCATGAAGCCCATGTTCTACCACTGAGCTACATCCTCAACCTCTCAAGACCCTAAGTTTTATGTCAGAGTCTTTGTACATGCACCACCTACTTCTGTCCCAACCAACAGTCAGTCTTCAGTCTGCGCCCTCCCATTCTTGCCCCTTGATCTCTGGGCACTAAGCCAGCGGGTTGTCTTGGAGGTGCTAGGGCAGGAACACCTACCCTGCCATGCTGCGCTGTCTGCTCTCCAGGCTGCCAGTCAGGATGTCGAGCAGGACTTCAGAAAATCAGGTGAATATGGCAGGCCCTGGGGTCCTAGGGCATGGCTGTCGACACCCAGGCAGGCTGGGGCTCTCCCAGCCTGGGGCTGCTAATCTGCTTCTCTTCTTCTCTGTGGGCTCCCCTGTTGTGCCGTCCTCCATTTCCCTATGCTTCTCTCTTGTTTCCTTTTTCAAAGACAAGCAGAGGGCAGCAGAGGACCATGGAAAGGCCCTGCTCAAACCCACAGAGGATTCAAGTGACATGTCTGCAAGACAAACAGGCAGAGGTCTGGCTGCTCTGCCTGGGTGGTTCAGGGGGAGCCAGGTTAGTGTCAAGGACAGGTACAGAGACCCAAAGGTCACTCATGGAGTGTGTCCCTGAATCTGTCATGATAGAGCCCTATCAGGAAGGGCCAGGGAACAAAGCAATGACCTTGAGGTTTGCTAGAAGATTCCGAGACCTCTGATAGCCTAAAGGAGACATTGAAAAAGACTTCAAGGAAGAGAAAAATCCTTTTCTGTGGAGAAGGCTAAAGGAAGGGGGATACTGTATTCTGGACACTTTGACTATATCTATTTATAGAGCTGTAGTGAGAAGTAAAACGGCTTCTAGATTTCTTTCTTCATTTTCAGTACTGGGAATTTAATCCAGAACCTCACACATGTAACACAAGTGCTTTGTCACTGAGCCACATCCCCATTCCCAAATTTTTTTTAAGTACTATGGATGGAACTCAGGGTCTCACACATATTAACACATATTGCACAAGTGCTCTACCACAGAGCTGTATCTCTGCCCCTCTGTATAGTTTTTCTTTTCTTTTTTTTTTTTTGTATTTGCAATTGAGCCCAGGGGTACTGGTACTGAGCTACATTCCCAGTCCTTTTTATTTTGAGAGAGGGTCTTGCTAAATTGCTGAGGCTAGCCTCAAATTTGCCATCCTCCTGCCTCATCCTCTTGAGTTGGCTGGATTTAGAAGTGTGTGCTACCAGTCCTGGTCCATATTCTTTTTTAAAAAAATATTTTTAATATATTTTAGTTGTAAATGGAGAAAATACCTTTATATATTTATCTTTATGTGGTGCTGAGGATTGAACTCAGAGTCTCACCCATGCTAGGTGAGTGATCTACCACTGAGCCACAGCCTCAGATCCCCATATTCTTTTTTTAATACTTTTTTTAGTTGCTGATAGGCCTTTATTTCATTTATTTACGTATATGTGGTGCTGAGAATCGAACCCAGTGTCTCACACATTCTAGGCAAGTGCTCTACCACTGAGCCACAACCCCAGCCCCTCATATTCTTTTTGATAAGTGCTTAAAACAGGGGTCAGCACACAGTAAACCTTATATGATCACTCTGTCTTGATCTTCTGTTTTTTCATTTATTCCTTAGTTTTGGTTATGTTTTTGGTTCTGAGGAGAGAACCAGGGTCTGACACATGCTAGGCAAACTTTCTACTGAGCTATACCCTCAGTCCTCATCATCTTTTTATAAAATTAAGCTCTAGGCCTGGGGCTGTAGCTCAGAGACAGAGCACTTGCCTAGCACATGTGAGGCACTGGGTTCAATCCTCAGCACTGCATTAAAATAAATTAATATACAAAAATATTGTGTCCATGTACAACTGAAAAGATTTCAAAAAAGAAGTTTGGTTCTTTGAAAAGATTAATGAGATATTAGCAATTTTTGTTTTCACTCCAGAAATTAAGAGAAACATGAATTATCCATATCAGGAAAGTATATGGGGCACTCTTACAGATTCTACAGACACTGAAGGGTTAATAAGACTTTTTGAACATATAACTTTATTTTCAATGGAGTCCAAATGTCAGTCATTTACTTCTTGTGCTGCTTCTGTGTTCATTTGGATCCTCTGTATTTATGAAGAGAGCAGAACTCAGCAACTTTGCTAATGCCTCCTCCACTTACGAAATAGAACTACACAGGATGTTTTAGCTGGGGCTCAGTGAAATCAATTGTTTCGAATGTACTGGTTTGAATGGAATTAAACACGGTGGAATGGAAAACAATAAAATAGTGTCAAGTAGAATTTAATGGAACAGAATCGAATCCAATAGAACAGAATGGAAAGGAAGACAATGAAATAGAATAGAATAGAATATATCAGTCAAACTTTGTGTCAAGAACTGGAAATAGGGCTAGGGTGGTGGCTCAGTGGTAGAGCGTTTGCCTAGCATGTGCAAGGCACTGAGTTCAATTCTCAACACCACATATAAATAAATAGATAGATAGATAGATAGATAGATAGATAAAGGTTTAGCAATGACTAAAAAACTACTTTAAAAAACCAACTTGAATCTAATGTATGAAATATGATATGTCAAGAGCTTTATAATGTTTTGAACAACCAATAAAAAAAATAAAAAAATTTAAAAAAGTAAAAATACTGTTAGAAAAAAAAAAAAGAAGAAGAACTGGAGGGCTAGGGTTGTGGCTCAGTGGTAGAGCACTCACCTAGCATATGCCAGGCCCTGGGTTCTATCCTCAGCACCACATAAAAATAAATAAAATAAAGGTATTGTGTCCAACTACAACTAAAAAAATAAATATTTTTTTAAAAAAGAACTGGAAATAATTGTTATAGTAGATATTCATTCATTGAAGAAATATTGAACTATTTGGGAAACAGCAGGAACAAGATAGAAATTCCTACTCATATTCTAGGTAGGAAGACAGGTATTAGTATGTACAAAGGTTCTGAATCTAAAGGTAGAAGGATGACCCTTATGAGGAACACGCAAAGATAGTGTGGCTTGGAGTTTAAAAGCCATGTATGGGGTTGGAGAAGTAGATCAGTATATAGCACTAGTTTAATATAAACGAGTTCCTAGGTTCCATCCCCAGCATTGGAAGAAAAAAGCAATGTATAAAACTATAGTTATGGTAATAAAGGTGGATTATTTTTCTTTATTTCTTTTTCGTGTGGTACCAGGGATTGAAACCAGGGCCTAGCATGCTTAGCAAGTGCTCTACCACTGAGATACATTTCAGACCTTAAGTCTATTATTTTAAACACTGTACTACCTGTATTGCCAGACCATAGGCACATTATAATCCTACAGCAGATGTAATGTAAATTAAAAAAAAAATACTAAAGAATGCAAGGCAAGAGAAGGATCTAGAAATAAGTGGAGAGGGAAGGAGGTGTGCCTGACCACTGGCTTTGTAAACACACATGCCCAGAAAGTTTTATCTCATCTGAGAGATATCCTTCTTGACCTGCCTTCTGTGATCATAGCTGCAGAGTGGGTAAGGAGGTGGCTAGGAAAAATTATCAATGGATGGCTTGTATTCAGTGTTGGACCTGTTTTGTGTGTTGTCAGTTCTTGGAAAAGAGAGGGATTCCAACTTGGGAAATACAAGGGAGGTTTGGCTTTAGTCTCCTCCCTTAATTTTCACTTATGTTCATCTGGAAGGAGAAAGAGAGAAAGAAAAGAGTGAAGGGGCTGGCGCTGTAGCTCAGTGGCAGAGTGTTTACCTAGTGTGTGTGAAGCACTGGGTTCCATCTTTAGCACCACATACAAAATAAAACAAATAAAATAAAGACATGCTGTCCATCTATAACTACAAAAAAAATTTAAGGGCTGGGGTTGTGGCTCAGTGGCAGAGCGCTTGCCTAGCATGTGTGAGGCACTGGGTTCCAACCTTAGCACCACATAAGAATGGGCATGACAGACACATAGAATCTTATGAATCCATGCATGTATCCATTAGACTCTACTGACATTTTCCTTTGGGATTCTCCCTTTGAAATGGGGGTGGAAGTAATGCAGGGGGTGGGGGGAAAGCAGAAAACATGAGAGTCTTCAGTGGCAATGTGGTTTCACCTGACATTTTTTTACCTTTTAGTCAAGGAGGGACAGCTCTCAGACCCCTTCCCAGTGTCTTATCCATAGACTTGACCACATCGTGATGACAGTGAAGAGCATCAAAGATACCACTATGTTCTATTCCAAGATCCTGGGTATGGAGGTCATCACTTTCAAGGTAACCATTTCCCCACACACCAAATTGCAGGTGGATTAAACTTTAATGATAACACCTTAACATACAACTTAAGGGCTGGGGGTATAGCTCAGAGGTAGAGTGCTTGCCTAGCATGTGCAAGGCCCTGGGTTCCATCCCCAGCACCACAAAAAGGTGGGTAAAATTTAGCTTAACTCCAAAAACAAAATCACAGGAAATTTGAAGCAAAGATAAAAAGACCAATGAATAGGGGGATTTCCAGAAAATGGAGGAAAAAAGAGGGGAGGAAATTATCATGGAAATAATGCAAGAGTTATGTACAACTATAATGCATTGATTTTAAAAAAGTGGGAAAAACAATGTTCTGGCCTTGGCACATGCTTGTCATCCCAGCTGCTGGGGAGGCTGAGGCAGGAGAATTGCAAGTTCAAAGCCAGCCTCAGCAATTTAGGGAGGCTCTAAACAACTTAGCAAGACTCTGCCTCAAAAAACAATTAAGGGCTGGGGTTGTGGCTCAGTGGTAGAGCACTCGCCTTGCACATGCGTGACCCTGGGTTCAATCCTCAGCACCACATTAAAAATAAATAAATAAATAAAGGTACTAAAAAATTTAAAGTCTGGGGATATGGATCAGTGGTTAAGTACTTCTGTTACCAAAAAAAAAAAGAAAGAAAAAAAAAGAAAGAGAAAAGAATAAAAAAGGAAAGAAGAAAAGAAAGAAAAAAAGAACACAAGAGAACACTGCAGTCTTTATATACAAAGAGTTAAGTAAGTATCCAGCACATCAATACTTAGATACATTTGATAGAATTGTAGAATATCAAATTGTAAAAGGAGATCCTAAGAGCTTTCTAAGAGATTAAAAAGTAGTTCATCTAAAAAGAAAAAGAAACATTCAAATATCTAATTTTCTGAGTCCTACTGGAGACCAGAAGATAATAAAGGAAGGTCACCTTCAGGATTCTGGGAAAGGGACTGGAATTGTAGCTCATTAGAGGAGCACTTGCCTAGCACATGTGAGGTACTGGATTGGATCCTCAGCACCACATAAAACTAAATAAATAAAATAAAGGTACTGTGTCCATCTACAGCTTTAAAAAAATGTGAAGCTATTTGCTCCTATTAATTTTTTTTTTCCTTAAAGATTCTGGGGACAAATTTTCAATCCTAGAATTCTATGTCCAGCAAAACTATTAACCAAAGATAAGTGTAGAATAAAGCATTCTTAGACACAAAATGTCTCAAAAAATCTGCCCATTAGGAAACTGGGGCTCAGTGGTAGAGCTCATGCCTAGCATTCACAGGGTCCTGAGCTCCATCCTCAGCACTAAAAATCAAACAAAATGAGCAATTAAGTTGGGAATAAGGAAGACACAGAAATCAGGTTACCGTGGTTCCCAAGAGGAAGATTCCAGAAAGAATCTTAGAAAACCATCAGTCCTGTTCTAAACAGAACCAAGAAAGATCCCAAGAAGGAGAAATCCAGGGGGAAATAGAGGTTTCTAGAGATGAATACTATCCTGAGAATTTGTAAAAACTTCAAAAGTGGTAAATGCAGGGGCTGGGGTTGTGGCTCAGTGGTAGAGCACTTGCCTTGCACATGTGAGGCACTGCTTTGATCCCCAGCACCACATAAAAATACTAAATAAACAAAAATAAAGGTATTGTGCCCATCTACAATTAAAAATTATTTTTTAAAAAATGTGGTAGGACTAAGGTTGTGGCTCAGTGGTAGAGTGCTTGCCTGGCATGTGTGAGGTACTAGGTTCAATTCTCAACACCACATATAAATAAATGATCAAAGTAAAGGCCCATTTAAAAAAAATAAAGAAATCTCTTTTTAAAAAAGTGGCAAATGCAGAGAAAGGAAAACATAAGTGTCCTGCCAAGATGTTCCTTCAGCAGATGAATGGATAAACTGAGGTATGTCTAGATAATGAAATATCATACAGTTATAAAGAGAAACGAAGCTGGGCAATGTGGTGCACTTCTGTTATCCCAGTACCTCAAGAGGGTATGGCAGGAGGATCACAAGTTCAAGGCCAGCCTCATCAATTGAGTGAGACCCTGTCTCAAAATAATAGATAGATAGATAGATAGATAGATGGATAGATAGATAGATAGATAAAAAGGGGCTTGCAATGTAGCTCAGTGGTAGAGGGCTCACCTAACATGTGTAAGGACTTGGGTTCAATCTTAAATACCACAAAAATTACATCTATATCTATATATCATGCTGGGCTGGGGATGTAGCTCCGTGGTATGGTGCTCAACTAGCAAACTGAAGACTCTGGGTTTATTTGCTGGTACCACACAGAAACAAAATCATGCTGAATAAATAAATGAAGGGGCTGGGGTTGTGGCTCAGTGGTAGAGTGCTCGCCTCACATGTAAGAGACCCTGGGTTCGATCCTCAGCACCACATAAAAAATAAATAAACAAAATAAAGATATTATGTCCATATATAACTAAAAAAAATTTTAAAAATTAAGAAACATAAGAAGGTCTCACCTCATGGAACCATTTATAATACCCACACAAAATAATAATACACTTTTATTTTGTGACATTGGGAATTGAACCTAAGGCCTTACATATGCCAGGCAAGGCATTTGATCACTGAGCCACATCCCCAGCCCAACAATAATGTACTTTTTTTCAGGGAGGAGGTACTGGGGATTGAACTCAGGCACACTTGACCACTGAGCCACATCCTAGCCCTATTTTGTATTTTAATTAGAGACAGGGTCTCACTGAGTTGCTCAGCACCTCACTGCTGCTGAGGCTGGCTTTGAACTCATAATCCTCCTGCCTCAGACTCCTGAGCCGCTGGGATTACAGGTGTGCACCACTGTGCCCAGCCAGTAATGCACTTTTTACAATAACTTATGAAAATCAAAGGATGCATACCAAATACATTTATAATGGTTGCCTAAAGTAGGGACAGGAATAGAGAATAGAGAAAAAATGCATTAAGGAAATGACATGGGCTTTGCAAGGACCAGCGATGACAATAGTGTATATAATGCCTCAACTCCCTATACTCAAGACACATTAGAGTGAAATTTCAGAACATCTAGGGCCAATAAAAATTCTACAAGCTGCAGGAGTGGAAGGTGACAAAAAATGAAAAACGGAATAACATCAGACTTCTTATCAGTAACACCAGATTCAGGGAAGAAAATGAAGCAACATATTTAAAAGGCTGTGGGGAAAAAAAAAACCCTCAACTTAGAATTGCATACTGGAACAAATTATCATTCAATGGTAAAAGTGAAATAAATTCATTTTCTGGTAGAATGTATGTGGTATCAAACATGATGATAAAAAAGGAAGAGAAATGGCAGATGCTGAGAGGTACAAGAGAGGATGGAGACATGAAGAAGACTACAGGGTTATGTGGGTTATCTATCAAAAAATAAACATATTTCTTAGCACTACAAAAAAATAATACCAAAAATATTCAACTGGGTTATTTAAAAATTATAAAGGAGAGCTGGGGTTGTGGCTCCATGGTAGAGCACTTGCCTAGCATGTGTGAGGCACTGAGTTCCATCCTCAGTGCCACATGACAATAAATAAATAAAATAAAGACATTGTGTCCATCCACAATTAAATTTTTTTAAGAAAATATAAAGAACCAAAAGAAGAATTAAACATGATGATAGAATTCTGTTGGGAGGGATAGTAATGTGTATGAGCTAAATTCTCATTTATCATAGCAGAGAAATGATAAAAACTATCTAAAGTCACTAAATCGAGAAATAGTAGTGCTCCCAGCAGCTTGGAAGGCTGAGGCAGGAGGATCACAAGTTTAAAGCCAGTCTCTGCGTATTAGGCAAGGCCCTAAGCAACTTACTTAGCAAGATCCTGTCTCAAAATACAAAAATAAAAAGTAAAATAAAGCAAAAGGTCTGGGGCTACATCTCAGTGGTTAAGTGCTTCTAAGTATGATCCCTGGTACCAAAAAATAAATAAATAAATAAAAATAAAAGATAAAAATAAAAATAAAAAGTAGTTCATCAGGGATTGTGTTTGGAGGTGTATGGGAGAAAACTCAACTAATTTAGGGTTACATTAGAAAGTTTTCTTTTTCTTTCATTGAACAAGCAGTCAGGAGTAGGCAGTCAGAACTCAGGCAGTGGTTGGGAAGGAGGAAATGAATGGGCACAAAAGTGCCAGCTCAATGGGGCGGAAAGGATCTCAGAAGCCCCACCCACAGCCATCTCATGGCCCAGTCCAGCTAACATGGCCTCCCTTACATGATGACCCCTTCAGCAAAGAATACTGGGAAATGCAAGGGGGGGGGTTGTTTGTTAGTTTTAAAGCCCAGTATACAGTGACTCCATCAGAATTTGGATTTTGTTGTAAGAAAAAAAAAAAAAAAAAAGGACAACTTGGGAGGTTGGATCCCTGAGAAGGATCACTTGAGCCCAGGAATTCAGGGCCAGCCTGGACAACAGAATGAGATCCTGACTCTTCCTTAAAAAAAGAAAAGTCTGCCTTTAATCCTAGCTACTCAGAAGGCTGAGGAGGAGGATGATTGCAAGTTTGAGTCCAGCCTGGGAAACTGAATGAGATCCTGTCTCAGAAAGAAGAAGGGCTTGTGCCAAGTGTGGTGGCTCAAACTTTTCTAATCCCAGAGACTCAGAGGCTAAGGCAGGAGGATCACAAGTTTGAGGCCAGCCTCAGCAATTTAGGGAGACCCTCAGTAACTTCATGAGACCCTATCTCAAAATTTAAAAAAAAAAATAGAAAGGGTTGGGGGTGTAGGTCAGTGGTACAACTCTTTCCTAGCATATGCCAGGCTCTGGGTTCAATACCCAATACAGAAAAAAAGATGGGAATGTATACTGAGTAGGCAAACTGCTATTTCTGCCATGGGTAGTGTTAGCACAAAGAGTCCGGACCGGAGACAAGCTTCATGGATCATTTCAGCTTTTTATTCAGGAAAGGGACTACACCTATGGGAATGCACTCACTTTCCTGGTGGAAAATGAGCCATTAACAAAGGAGGGGACTGGGCTTATACAGGTTGTGGGTAATTTAGTGAGCATGTCAGTTTGGGCACTCAGAAATTTGAGTTTTTGGGTTGGGAGTCAGTGGCCAGCACCTGGAAAGGAGTTATCTTGGAAGAGATTAGTGTTTTCTTTTTTTTTTCCTTTTTAATATTTTTTTAGTTATACATGGACACAGTATCTTTATTTTGTTTGTTTACTTTTATGTGGTGCTGAGGATCCAACTCAGTGCCTCACATGTGCGAGGTAAGCACTCTGCCACTGAGCCACAACCCCAGCTGGAGATTAGTGTTTTCTAGAGATTATCATTCTAGGTTTGATGAAACACTTTCTCCTCACCTGTGGCCAGCATCTGAAAAGGATTTAACTTGAAAGAGATGAAAGCTATCCATGTATGGTTTTCTTTTTCATTCCCTTTTCCCAGGTCTCACTATTTTGGGTTTTTTCGGGTGGTATAAACATATTGTTTAGAGATAGGGAAATAATTTCAGGAAGAAACAAACACATAAAATGTGCACACATATTAGAAGTAGTTGCCTCTAAGACTGAGGTGGTGTAAGGGGATGTTGTTTAGTTAGCCTTGATTTACTTTAAAAAAAAAAAACTTCCTTGGGGTGGGGGTCAGACTTTAGCTCCCACTCATCTTTTTCTTTCATTCTTTTTTCCTTTTCTTTCTTGGTGCTGGGGATTGAACCCCCCACATGCTAGGCAAGGGCTCTATAACGGAACTATATCCCCAGTCCTTTATTTTTATATTTTATTTTGAGGCAGAGTCTCACTAAGACTGGCCTCAAACCTGTGATCCTCCTGCCTCAGCCTCCTGAGTGGCTGGGATTTCAGGTGTGCACCACCACACTGGGTTTGGAACTTTGGTTTTAGGTTGTTTTCTCTTCCTCAAATAGGGAGACCGAAAAGCATTGTGCTTTGGAGACCAAAAATTTAACCTCCATGAGGTGGGAAAGGAATTTGAACCCAAAGCTGCTCATCCTGTTCCAGGCTCCCTGGACTTATGTCTGATCACAGAGGTGCCTTTGGAGGAGATGATCCAGCATCTAAAGGTGAGTGGGACTCCATTCTTCTTGATAAAAACCACTGCAGATGCCATAAAAATGGAAGCTTGACTCGGGGAGATCTTCAAACCTCTAACATGACCGGTTTCTACACAATCATCCACTCATTTTGATTGACATCATTGTTTCATGTAACCAGATAGATTTAAAAATGAAACTTCAGGGCTAGGGTTGTGGCTGATTGGTAGAGCACTTGCCTAGCATGCGTGAGGCACTGAATTCGATCCTCAGCACCACATATAAATAAGTAAATAAATAAATAAGTAAAGGTCTATCTACAACTAAAAAAATTAAATGTATATCTGAGTTATTTTACATAAACACATTTACATAAAAAGAAAACGTTCTACCAACTACATGAAAAATCCATTATATGTAGGCATAAAGGGAAAGTAATTGTAAAAGCCAACAGCTATAGGGCTGGGAGTGTGGCTCAGTGGCATGACACTTTCCTAGCCCTGAGTTCCATCCCCAGCACTGAGAGAGAGGGGGAGAGGGAGGGAGGGAGAGAGAGAGAGAGAGAGAGAGAGAGAGAGAGAGAGACAGACAGACAGACAGACAGACAGACACTCTTGCCTAGACTGCCTAGGTATGAATTCTGGCTCTGTTACTTATTAGATCATACTAGATACTTTTTTTTCCTTTTTGTACTTGGTATTGAACCCAGGGGTAGGTACTTTACCACTGAACTATGCCTTTAGTCATTTTTATTTTATTTTTATTTTGGGGAACTACCAGGGATTGAACTCAGGGGCAGTCAACTACTGAGCCATGTACCCAGCCCTATTTTGTATTTACAGACAGGGTCTCACTGAGTTGCTTAGTGCTTCACTTTTGATGAGGCTGGTTTTGAACTCTTGATTCTCCTGCCTCAGCCTTCTGAGCCACTGGGATTACAGGTGTGCATAACCATATCCAGCTAGTTTATTCTTATTTTGAGACAGGGTCTTGCTAAGTTGCCCAGGCTGGCCTTAAACTTTTGATCCTACTGCCTCAGCCTCTGGAGTTGCTCATATTACAGAATTGTGCCACCATGCCTGGCCATACTAGGTACCATTATTATTCCCATTTTCAGATGAGAAAACTGACATACAGGTCAATTAGTTGCTCTACCCAAGGCCATACAACTTAACAGGGTTAATGAATGAAGAATGGCAGAAAATGAGGTGAGAAAATACAGAGGTGTTCTATATGCTTCTAAGGTAGTATTAGGAATTGAATTTTAGTTTTTCACATTGACTATGACATATGAACTTTGTCTTCTCTTCCCACTTTAGGCTTGTGATGTCCCCATTGAGGAGGGGCCAGTTCCCAGAACAGGAGCAAAGGGGCCTATTATGTCTGTCTACTTCCGAGACCCAGACAGAAATCTAATTGAGGTGTCCAACTATGTCTCCTTGTGATTGATACTGGTCCTCAGCCATTTTGTTTCCCTCCATGTTACCTTCTCCCTTCCTTCCCAAAAATCCTTGCCCAGGCCCAGAGACCTTCATGGACTGAGGACTTCAGCAGTTCACACATCCTGTTGAGGGCATGTGAGACAGGTGTGGGACCAAACCTACATATCTGGATGATCTTCATTCAAGCTGTGCCAAAAAAAAAAAAAAAAAAGATAATCCCACCACAGTAGCTCATTGTTCTTTTTGTCTCACCACTTCACCTGGGGTTTGTCTAGGATATGAGTTTTCTAAACTCTTTAGAGGTCCATGACTGGTTAAGACATCTCTGAGGACCAAATGCAGGTCTTTTCCTTGGGATTCAAAACCTCTGACAGATTTCTACTTGTCTGTGATGCATCCTTCTTCCTCCTTATCTGACTTGCCTCATTCCTCTGACTTTTTTTTTCCCTTCACCCTATGGGCCTCACTGAACCTCGGGATCCATATAATTCCTATGAGATCTTCCAGGACCAGCCCAGATGATGCACCTTCTCCTGGAGAGACTTCTCTGGTCTCACTCTCAGGGCATCTAGCACTTTCTCCCTTATTGAGACTCAGCCGCTGACTGAGTATATGGGATAAGGTCAAGTTTCTTCTGTTTCGGTCCCCCCACCACTGCCACACCTTTTACTCATTTAGTCAACTAAAACACATATATTGAGCATCTATTGTGTGGTGGGTCCTGTCTTAGGCATTAGAGAGATGGTGTTGAACAAAAAGGATAAGTATATCTATGCTTGTGGTGCTGCCATTCAAGTGGGAGAGATAGAAAATCAGTAAAATTAAAAAAGGTGTTGGGGGCTGTAGATCTTTGGTAGAGCACTTGCTTAGCATATGTGGGGCACAGGATGGGATTCTCAGCATCACATATAAATAAATAAATAATCAATAAAATAAAGGTCCACTGACATCTAAAAAAAAATTTTAATAAAGGGTGTTTGGAAGGGAGGAATAGAGAAAGGATGGTTAATGAGTATAGAGGTGCAGTTATATAAGAGGAACAACTTCTAAGTTTTTAAAAAATATTTTGTTATTTTAGTTGTAGTTGGAACAATGACTTTATTTTATTTATTTATTTTTATGTGGTGCTGAGGATCAAACCCAGCACCCCACACGTGTTTGGCAAGCACTCTACCACTAAGCCACAATCTCAGCCCCATCTTCTAAGTTTCTATAGCACAGTATGTTTGGCAACAATTAATTGAATTTTTTCAACTAGCTAATAGAGGGGATTTTGAATGTTCTCAACATATAGAAATTATCTACGTCTGGGGTAATAGGCATGCCAATTGCCCTGATCTGATCATTACACATTGTGTACATGTCTTGAAATGTCATACTGTATCTCATCAATATTATAATTATTCTGTTGATTTCTAAGAAATTATTAGTTAATTAATTAAAAAGAAAGAGAAAAATAACTAAGATATTAGATATGCTAGAGACCGATAAATACTTTGGAGAAAAAGAAAACATGGAGGTTAGCAGTATAGTTCAGTGGTAGAGTGAATGCTGAGCCCATACAAGGTCCTGGATTTCTTCTCTAGCACTAAAAGAAAACACAGAAAAGAGGGGATGCTGATAAACATTGCTGGAGCAATTTACAATGTTTAATGGGATTGTCCAGGAAAGCCTGACTGAAGAGACATTTGAACACAGACCTGAAGACTTGAGGGATAAACCACACAGCTACCCAGAGGAGGAATGCACCAAGCTGAATAGGCAGTACAAAGGCCCTGAGGCAGGAATGGATGTGGTGTGCATGTGAGGAACAGCTAGAGAGGGGCACAGTAGGAGGAGTGAGAGAGAAAGTTTGGGTAGGGCCTCGTGGACCAAGGTGAAGACTTTGGCTTTTATTCTGAGTGAGTGGAGCCACCGGAGGGTCCTGAGCAGAGGGAATTTATCTGATCCAGGTTTAACCGGCTCCTGCAGGCTACTATATGGAAACTAGACTGTCAGGGAAGGGCAGAAGCAGAGGTGCCAAGGAGGAGGAGGCCACCGCAGTGGTCCTTGTGAGCCATGAAGGTGGTGGCAGAGTAGGTGAAAAAAAAGGTGGTTAGACTCTGGCAATAATTTGAAAATAGGGACTAAATGAGTTAATCAAGCAAAAATGTCAACTAAAGAAGCCTGAGCACCTTTAGAGGTTTGAAACAAGATGAGGTTCAGGCAAGGAGGAAGGGGAAGTGTACAGATGGATTCCTGAATGAATATATGATGGATGAAAGAACAGATATGAGAGTCTCTTGAAGTAAAGAGGCCCTTAATCTTGTGAACTCTGGTCTCTAAATACTCTCCAGCTGGATCCTATGAGTGAACTCCCAGGGACCCCCCCAAAATGCTATAAAGAATGGAAATGTGAGGATGGAAGCTTTGGCACATAAAGGGCTTTGCCAAAAACTGTAGTAAGTTTCCTGTCCGATTTTATTTTTTTTTAGGGAATTTTTAATATTTATTTTTTAGTTTTCGGCGGACACAACATCTTTGTATGTGGTGCTGAGGATCGAACCCGGGCCGCACACATGCCAGGCGAGCGCGCTACCACTTGAGCCACATCCCCAGCCCCTTTTTTTAAAAAAAAATATTTATTTTTTAGTTTTTTTTTTTAAGATGGACACAATATCTTTATTTTATTTTGATGTAGTGCTGAGAATCGAACCCTGTGCCTCACGCATGCTAGGCAAGTGCACTACCACTTGAACCACATCCCCAGCCCCTTCCTGTCTGATTTTAAAAGACAGCTTGCCTTGGATCCAAAAATTATAAGCCTGGAGATAGATGATTTACAGAAGGAAGAGAAAGGAAGAGGGAGAGAGGGAGGAAAGGGAGAATGAATGGGCAAATGGTTGGATGGATGAATGGATGGGTGGAAAAGGAGATGGATAGATGGGTAGAGATGGGTACTGTTAGATTTCTATTGCTGTGACAAATACCTGAGATAAATCAGGTATTAAAAGGAGGAAAGATTTATTGTGGATCACAGTTTCAGAGGTTTCAGTCCATGGTCATTTGTCCTGGTTGCTTTGGGCCTATGGCAGCATAGCACATCCTGGCAGGAGCATGTGGTAGAGGAAAACTGTTTACTTCATGACTGCTGGGAAGCAAAAGACAGAGAGGAAGGGGCCAGGATCCTAATATCTCCTTCAAGGGCAGGCCCCCAGTGACCACTAGGCCCCACCTCATAAAGGTTCCACAACCTTCAAATGGTCCCAGCTGTTAAAAGCTTGGTTGCTTTTAGGCCAGGTGTGGTGGCACACATCTGTAATTCCAGCATCTCAGGAGGCTGAGGCAGAATCATCAGTTCAAAGCCAGCCTCTGCAACTCAGTGAAGCCCTATGCAACTCAGAGGGACTTGTCTCAAAATAAAATGTAAAAAGGGGCTGGGGAGTGGCTGTGGCTGTGGCTCAGTGGCAGAGCACTTGCCTAGCCTGTGCGAAGTGATGGGTTCAAACCTCAGCACCACATAAAAATAAATACATAAAATAAAGATATTGTGTCCAACTACAATAAAAAAATTTAAAAAGGGCTGGGGATGTGGCTCAGTGCTTAAGTGTCCCTGGGTTCAATCTCTGGTACCGGGAAAAAAAAAGCTTGGTTGCTTTTAACTTTGGGGGACACTCTAGACACAAACTATAAAAAATGGATTAAATGAAGTGTGGTATATTAAGTCAATGAATTATTACTTAGCAATAAAGTAGAATGAGCTTAAGAGGCCAATATTATTCTGATAAGAAAATCAAAGACATGGGCTGAGGCTGTGGCTCAATGGTAGAGCATTTGCCTCACACATGTGAGGCACTGGGTTTGATACTCAGCACCACATAAAAATAAATAAACAAAATAAAGATATTGCATTCATCTATAACTAAAAAATATTTTTTTAAATAAGAAAATCAAAGACATGACAAGAAAACTATAGCCTGATATCTCTTTTAAATATAGGTGCAAAATCCTCAACAATTACAAATAAATAGAATCCAGCAACATATAAAAAGATTATCCATCATAATCAAGTAGAACTTATCCCATAAATGCAAAGTTGGGTCACCATATTAATAGAATAAAGGACAAACAGCACATGACAAAAACCCCTCCATGATATAAACACACTCAACAACCAGAAATAGAAGAGAACTTCCTCAACATGATAAAGGGTATCTACAGAAAACCCACAAGTAACATCACACTCCATAATGAAAGACTGAAACCTTCCCCCAAAGATCAGGAACTACACAAGGAGGTCCCTGATCACCACGTCTATTCAACATTCAACTAGAGGTTCTAGCCAGGGCAATTAGGCAAGAAGAAGAAATAAAAGACATCCACGGGCTGGGGTAGTGGCTCAGCAGCAGAGTACTTGCCTATCATGTGTGAGGCACTGGGTTCAATCATCAACACCACATATGAATAAAGAAATAAAATAAAGGTCCATCAACTAAAAAAACAAACAGTATATAGATATATAAATCAAAGACATCCAGATTTGAAAAGAAGTAATTAAAACTATCTCTATTTGAGAGGACATGATTTTGTACTTTGAAAATCTTAAGGAATACAACAAAACCAGTAGAACTCCATTAGTATTTAAACCCAGCAAGGATGCAGGAGACAAGATTTTGTATGAGGCAAGATACAAGGTTTTGTATGAGACAAGATCATACAAAAACTTAATCATAACATGGACGAGGCAGAGCATGCCTGTGATCCCAGGGAGTCCAAGGCAGGAAGATCACAAATTCAAAGCCAGACTCAGCAACTTAATGAGGCCCTAAGCAACCTAGTGGGACCCTGTCTCTAAATAAAAAATAAAAAATAGGACTGGGGATGTGGCTCAGTGGCTAAGCACCCTTGGGTTCAATCCCTGGTACTAAAATTGAAAAATAAGAGATATTATTGGATTAAGCATAATCTTATTCTTAGGTCCTATATTGGCTGAGCTAAATTTGTAGCTTGTAGAAATTAAGAAAAATGTGAATAAATATGACAGATCTATGGTAAATTTAAAAATATAGGGGAAAATGATCAATAGAGTAAAGAAGGAAGATCAGCAGAATGGAGGAGGGGAAGGAATAAGGAAGTTCAAAACCAGTAGAACTCCATTAGTATTTAAACCCAGCAAGGATGCTGGGATTGAAACAGAACAAACTATGTTATATACATTTATGA